GATAGATAGATAGATAGATAGATAGATAGATAGATAGATAGATAGATAGATAGATAGATAGATAGATAGATAGATAGATAGATAGATAGATAGATATGGATATATTTGGAATATGCAAATATAACTGAAATAACAAGAGAAAAAACAAAACTTAACAAACATTAAGTTTTCATGTATATATCTATGTCTTCAGAATGTGTGTGCTCGAAAAGGAGTAGGATGCAGTTTAGTAAGATGAAGTTTACACTTCATGCATTTAAAGTAACTACTTTCATCGGGAAAGTGTTACTTTGGGGTGTTTTTTCATGTTTTAAAAGAACATGTAATCTTGTTCTGCAGCTGCTAACAGGTAGATCAAAGCCAACATCAGAGTAGAGGTAAATAATAATAATAAAATAATATAATATAGTATATATAATATTACAATTGCATTTATAGCCCACTTGATAAAGTTCCAAGAGCCCAGTTTCTTTTTTTAGTATTTGTAATGTTTCAAATGACGTAAATGTTATCTGAAGTCCTCTCCGTTACAGCCTTTCTGTGGCAGAATAAAAATAAAGCTTTTTTTCTTTTAAAGTAAAATAAATAAATAAAGACCGGAGTCACGTGACCGCCTCCGTTGATGTCTTGCAGCAGCATCCTCTGCTGCGCGCTCCTGCCTGCGACAGCACAGCCGCGGTGTGGTCGCTCTGAACGCACGTTAACGGAAAGGAAAAAAAACACTCCACACGTCGGGAAGGCCTCCGCCACACTCTACACCCTGTTGCAGTCACAGCGGCGTCGGATATAAGCACAGACACGCACGTTTTTCTGATCCTAGTCGCTCTTTTTTTTACATTTAAAAGCCCTTTTAAAAGACAGTCCTCGTAATGGCGACAGCTGCGGTGTCTGCCCCAACTGGCAGCGGCCCCAGCCCCGGGCCGGGAACGGAGCTGGTCCGCGGGCAGGCCTTCGACGTCGGGCCTCGGTACAGCAACCTCTCCTACATCGGCGAAGGCGCCTACGGGATGGTGTGGTAAGTTGTAGCCGAAGTGTCTCGGGCTGACACTTTTTGATTTTAGCCCGACGTAAACGGCGGCTAACCCGCATCTTTTCCGTTTCTAACTGTCATGTTTCGTCTGGCTAGCAAGGAACAGCGAGAAGCCGATGTTGCTTAAAGGAAGACGGCAGTGAAATCCCGGCCGGTGGTCGCTGACTTCATGGCATTATACTAGCCTGGAAGTGCATTTTATGTGGCTACTTTTAGCTGTTATCAATGCTGAACCGGGTGGACGATATCTGAGGTATCGATCACTTCAGGCGGGCAGAGGCGTTTCCAGGATTTCTTTTAAAGTGGGGTCCGCGTAGGGGGCCCGCGGGGAATCGGAACATTTGATCAGAAATAAATGCAGAGTAGAAAAAGTCACTGGGTGTGATTTTTCAGGCTCGTGTGAAGCTCTGTGCACATGGAAAGTGATCGTGCTTAAAGGTTTAAGGCTGTTTTTACTAAATAGCTGTTTCGCAAAGAGATGGAAAAAAACTGTTTAGATTCTTCACTCGGCTAAAGATCGTTATCCTGTTTAACTAGACAGATGCTGGAAACATGTTTTATATTCTTAAAGTTCCTAAAGTAAAAGGAAACTCATCCATTACAATGTCACATCAAGAATATGGATTCATTGTTGTTTATCAGTTTAATATTGCAGCCATTAGCGACTTAATTGTTTGTACTTTATGTGTACTAACACAGTGTCATTTACTGTCATAATTGTGGAGAAACCGAGGCTTTAAAATAACTGGATTGAATAACAATTAGACTCAATCAAAAATGCTAATTCCATTTATTCCAGTGGACAGAAATACAAAAGTGTCTGCTTTAAAACAACCCTCAAGTCACTAAAACGACCCATCAGTGTCAGTTATGCCTCCCATTATCTTTATTTTAATATTTATATTTATGTTTATCACCGGTTTTCCTATAGCTATAGCAGATATTCTAAAAATGCATAGTTTGTTTTTGCAAACCCTAATTAACTATACTAACTTTGTGTGTTAGCTCTCTGCCTGAGGCTTCTGCAGCAGTGCTACTCTGGGTCTGTTAGCCATGGTTCACTGCACAGTCACAATGTAGTGATTAGAAGTGGAAAATTACAATAAACTCAAACCTTTAATGTAAAAAAAAAAAAAAAGGACTCCACTTAAAGGTACCTGGAGTCATGTACTCATGATGCTCTGAGAGCATAACTATTGATTTCTTAATATGACTAATGTCACCTTAGTGTTTCAGCTGTAAACAGGTTTTTAATTTCTTTCCATTCAAAAGTAGTTGAGTAGAAGCAGAGAGTAGCGTGGCGTCGAAAAAATAATGTAACAGAAAATAAGAATGTCTCTTCAGTTTCTGTAACGTGTAGTCATCCAGTGACATGTGCAGTAATTTAATCAACTCTAGTTTCTATATGTTCATGTCTTCAGGTTTATTTCTGCCACATTTACTTAAACATTTACAGAAATGCAGTTTTAATCTACTACTACTACTACTTTTTAACCTTAATTTATATTTTATTCCTTCCTAGTTAAATTTACCCTTTTTAATTTTTCATATTTATTTCCTATCTTATTCATAGCCTTTTCCTTTTTTTGTTTTCTTTAGGTCACGAGCAGTTGTCCAAGCATTTCACTACATATCGTACTGTGTATGACTGTGTACGTGACAAATAAAATTTGAATTTGAATACATTCTAGGTGCTAATAATGTAATTTGCACCCCACATGATTTATCTTGAAGCCTTGGGTTCTTAATATTTTAAAGATTGTAATATAAACCCAATAACAGCTTTCATGTATACATGAAAGCACCCAGACACATTTAAATAATCTCCAGCTGCATTATTAAAGTGATCATCAACGATTATGATTTGATATTAATTCTGCATTTGCTTTGTTAATGTTGCTTTGAAATGTAAAGTTTGTTTTGGTGCTGTGTTAGTACTCTCAGGCTGCTTAAGCTGCTTCAGTTAAGTAAAGAGTCTAAATACATGCGTTGCAAAAACACTGGGTAAAAAAATATGTTCAGTCTCATGTGCAGCACCACATTCCCTGTAATATCATCTTAATTATTGCACAGGGCTTCACATGAGCCTGAAAGTCATACCTAATGTTTTCTAGGCCAGTTTTCTCAATCAAATATTCAGATTTCCTGTGCCACCTCATTTAAAGCATCCTGGAAATACCGCTAGTGTGTGGGCTTTATAGTGAGCTGACATTACCTCATTAAATTTTTCTTTCTTTCTTTTTTCTTTTTGTTCCTACATGAGGTTAGTCCTCTGTTTAAGTTGCTTGGTGTTGCATAAAATGCCTGGAAAATGTATTGTGGGAGTATCTCAAGGGGTTTTCCTTGTAGCTGATGGCAGATTACAAGCAGTATATGAAGGAATGTGCAGGAAAGATAGACCACAGAAGCATTATTTTCTATCCACTTTCTACCTAATGGTATGCTATCAGTAGTGCAGTAGAGTGTAAACTCAAATTATTCACCATTTTATTTGTGGTTTCTCTTGGTAGTGTACATTCCCACACAGGAATGGCAATCAAAGGTAACTTAGTTTTGTCCACATTTCTTGGTGTATTAAATCAAACCCTACCCTCTACTTTGAAAAACACTTCTTGCATGTGTTTCTTTAGCCTGAGGAGCTGCTTCTGACCTTAAATGTGCACACTGTACTGCATTACATAATATATTGTCCTTGTGTCAAACAGCAGCAGTGTAGTTCTTTTGTCTTCTGTAGTTAGAGAGAGGAGCAGGCTTTTCTGAGAACAGGCTTTGACACACAGTCTGCCCACGGTGTAGAAGCACAGCAGGTTGTTTTAGCACCTTTTCGTCTGCAAACTGGAAAACCCACCGAAAGCACACAGCTACAGTTGTACGAGCAAAGAAATGACTCGTAGCTCAAGTCAAGCCGAATTGAAGTACATTTTTCCATGTGAGGATGTTCACTTGTAAAGAGGCCTCTGTGCTTTTACAGTAATGCTTCAAAGTACGTGTTGCAGTCTGCAAAGATAGCATTATTGCAGAGCTGAGCTCACATTAAAATTACTTTCAGAAGTTCACCTGCTTGGACAACTTTAGAAACACTATTGCATGAAAATATTACCGCTGATATCCAGCTAGCTTTTATTTGTATGTTTGCAACACTTCAGTTTTAACCACACACTGTGGTCAGGAGAGCTAACACGACTGAAAACCAATGATGATGCTTTGTCTTGCTCACCGCTTCAGCAGTTTCTTTATGTTAATTGTAACACGTGTTTGCAAGGTTTTACTGCAGTTTACAGTAACCTAATGTTCTACATGGATACATCACAGAAATGGAGGTAACGGCCGCAAGGACACAATTATACACTGTATCTTCAACTAGGCTGCAAACATCAAGTTGTGAGAGGTGCTCAAGCAGCTGAAAGAACGCCACAGCATGTGTCAGCAAAGTGATGTCACTTTTGCTATGCGCTGTCGTTAACAAAGGTGACAAAGTTGTTTTGTTGTTTTTTTTTTAAACCAATGTTTTAGTGAGACAGTATAGAAGCTCAGGGTAAACAGAGGGAGATGTTCCCACAGTTTGGAAAGATGAGACTTTGTGAAAAAAACCTTCTTTGCTTCCGGTTTTGACAACTTCTCCTTCTACATCACAGCTGCCTGAGTGGCATACTGTTTTTTTTGTTGTTGTTTTTTGAAGAATACTGCAATGGCTACTTGCGCTACAACGGCGAGTACTCATCAATGTGGTTGTGTGACGATTATACTGGTGGCACATGAAGAGACCAATGCATCGAGTGTACTGGTGCCTTAATAGTTCAGTGGTGAGCCTATGGGCAACTTTGCAGACCATCGTCCGCATGTTGTAGCTGTTTTACCAGGGGGAAGTGTCGCAAGCAGCCAGGCTGTGGGCTACTCTTGCATAAGCAAGAGTAGCCCACAGTTGCAGAGGACCCTGAACTTATAACGTTGCAAAGAGCTGAGGTGAAGCAAGAACATTTAATGTTTGGAACAGGGTTCCAGCCCAGTTTTGAACAATTTAGCATTTTACTTATGCACAACATCATTCATGGCGACCTTCATGCTGTCTTTATGGAAAGCGAGGACTGCACACAAGCATGTTTGCATAGGTTGCAAACACCTCTGTGTAATCAAACCTACGTAAACTGACAGCCAGTGTGCCATAAATTCACCATAATGTCTCTCACATTGAGCTGTTGTTTATTATTTTGATTACAAATACCAGCGCAATAAATAAATATTATTGGATTTATTTATTTGCCACATTGATTTCACACAGTTTGTAAAGCAGCATACCTTAACCCTGTTGTTGTCTTAAATATGAAGGAATGACTTCCAGTCTCTTCCCCACAGTAAGGACTAGAGCTTAGTCGTTTAACAGTGTTAGTGGATCGGTTCTTGGTATCAGCGTACCCTAAGCCACGCTATCTATAGTGTGTCGGTTTGACACTGACAAAAGTTAAATGCAGTGCATCCCTGTCCATCTTATTACATGCTATCTTGTTTTATGAACTGTTGTGCTAGCTATTGCTCTAATTGATGAACTGTGTTAAATGGAGGATTACTACCAAACAGAGCAGTTATGCTTTTTGAGATCTCTATCACTGTAACGTAATTTCCAGGAAGGCGGATTTAGGTAGAACTGTAAAATGTACATATCAGTGCTCTAGGCATCGTCTTGGCAAGCAGTTTATGTTAATTTCCTACAAGTGATGACTTGCTTAAAGTTTTGCTTCTAAGATTTGGATCTCATCACTGTGGCCTTTCCACACCTTCCCTGTCCATCACACTGCCAACTGGGTGAAAGGTTTGAACTTTTCTTTAATGAACTTTGTTTCCGTCACCGAAATGTGGCCTCTGTCAGTGTGTTCTCTGCAGGTGCCACTTCCAGTAACCATCAAAGTTCATATTTTCCTCCAGAATTGGGTTCTTATTGATGTTAATGATGATGATGATCTTCTGTCTGTCTGGAGCTTTGTCATCAG